ATGAACGTATGAACGTATGAACGTATGAATGTATGAATGTATTTACAGCATGAGATGCATATTTCAAGGAGTAAAAGATAAATTTAACATAGCGAAAATAAAAGTTTAAGGTCAATCGGCTTTACGAGTACATTTTTAATCTTCAAGAACGCTATAAAACTTATTTGTTAGCCTTGATTATGAATGTACTTATATTTCTTTTTATATATTGTTTTATGCTCGCGTTTAATTGATTATTATATAATACAATATTATTATTATTTAAATTGAAATTACACAAGATAAAGTATGAAATAAATTTATATAATTTTTTGAAATGACCACCATCATAATTATCGGCTAATATATAATTTGTATAATTAATTTTTTTTAAATAGTATTATAAATAATTTATGTAGAATTGTTTTATTCATAAAGTATTAAACATTATAATTATTAATTTTAGTAATATTTTTTTACGCGTGTATATATGAAAATAGCAATTTTTTTATTAGGTATAGTACAATTATACATTAGTATAATTAATATCATTCCTTTTACAGAGAAAGGTTAATACTTATCTGATGGCATCTTAAATTTTTTACGTTTAAAAAAAGAAAATCTTATGAATCCAAGGTTAGCAAGATTCGCAAGGATAATACTTATAAGCATTATTTCGCAAGAATAATTTAAATAAAGCAGAATGAAACAAAGAAAGAATGATGCAGTCACAATGGAATAGAGTTCAACAAACAGCCATGGGTAGAAATGAAAAATGACACACATCTATATAATTGCAGTCGGTAAAAATGATTTCTTTCCGAGAAGATCGCGTGCCCGGCGGTGAAAGTAATTTCGTGAAAATTCATGACAATTTGCACAAACTGTCTGTGTAATTATAACAAATCTTTTATGATCGCACAACAACGTCGTATTTTTATAAAAAAAAAAAAAAGAATCAGCAATAATTACCACCTTTTTGTTCACTAGAAGAATAGATTTGTTACGTATAGGAGGGCTGAAAAGTTCAGAGCCTAGCAAGTGGAGGACTGTAATAGAATTATATCTTTTCAAATGTGAAAATTAGAGTGTTTGGAAATATTCATGATAAATTTCTATCAAAAAATTAATCAAAGTCAAAATATAAGATGATATCTATCTTAAGTATCTATTGTATTCTCAACATTGACATCGAATCTTGTTAGGTTCATCACGATTGTACTATGAGCATATGTTATGTGCTTACTCGTCTAGTATATCACTATGCATATGCATACATATTTGATATATGTAGTACATACACAAGTATACGTGCATATATAGGTTTAGGTACATATATGTGAGAAATTACCTTACATGTCAGATTGTCGTCTTGCTTCCTCACGAATGTTAACCACCTTTGCTTCTTGAAATTATGCGCTGTGAATATTTAGGACTATGAGTTATGACCTTTGACAGTTTCGAAATGGCTCTAACTGAACGCAGGTGCATCGTAAAATATTCGGTCACTGTCCCAAACGTTCGATGAATTTGACTAGATCGTTAACAACATTTATCTTGGAAAGCTATAAAAAAAAGGTTATTATAATTATTTATTAGTTGATATATATAATGCAGTGTCTTAAAATTAGAAAAATTTTAAGCACGACCATTAATCAAAGTAAACCAAAAATCCTGACATTATTTTTAAAATCAGTGATTCATTTTGGAGATCTTTTATACTGACATAGAAGATTAATATTTTGTATAATAAGCCAATATATCTTTTCTGAATAATTTATACTGAATACACGCATAATTCGTATACATATTTAAGTAACATTTTGATAGAAAGTGTTTTTCTATTGCTCGACTAGCTCACTTTAAATAAAAAAGAATTTTTCGTTAAGAACATTTACGTGATAGGACGGTTAAAGATAAATGAATAAAAAATATACAAAATTTTGAAGAGAACGACTATTGAAATTGGAAACAAAAGTTGAGAGGTAGAAGCCGAATAAGCGAATAGGAAATCCGATATTGTTTGTCACTGGAAGCGATATAGAAGAAATACAAGCTCGGAAACGAAATGGGGGTGTGTTTTCGAAATGATTTTCATTTACCTTTTGTGCATTGTTATTGATTCACTTGCCAACTGGGAATAATAAAGAGTATATACGCGAATGCATTTTTGTTTAAAGACAATAATTATTGTATCAAGAGAGTGCGACTATTTTCTTTCTTTCTACACGAATTTCATTGAGTTTTGCCACATTCAATCATTTATTTATTTTTTCTTAACTGGGGGCTCGACAATGTTAATTATTTGAAAAAAAAAATCAGACTGCAATTCGTTAAATATGTTAACAGCAATAATCATTATTTATGCGAGTACCAAATTATTTGACCAAAAAATTGTGGACAAAAAATAAAGGTATACATGTTGATTTTTATTGATTACTCGAGGATTAGTTATACGTACTATTTTTTTTTTTATGGAACCACGTCAGAAGAGTCGAGTTGGCGCCGAAATCATTGATTAAATCCTCGACGCCGACCTATTTTTCCTTTCGTTACCGTTTTCAACCTCATGTGTTGGATTACAGTCCTTTACTGCAAGTACGTGCCAACTTTTTGGCAAAGTATTGAAAAGATATGTCTCATGCTTCCTATCGACTATAAAAAAGTATTAGTATTTCTTACATTTTAATTATAAGATTAACAATAACCTAATTGCATCTTTGTTTTATAAAAACGTTCGGTAGTTAATCATTGAAAAATTCTTATTTAAGTTTGATAGGAAGATTAAACGATTTTGCAATCAACGAAATAACTTACACTGATTGCATAAAAAAGGAAATACGAATAAAAGAAAATAAGGATTCGATAGAAGTGTCTTAAACAGAAATGGATGATAAAAAGGGATCGTCGTGTAAGTTTTATTGCTAAAGCAGCTGGCACCTGTCGGATTCGTTTATCCAATGTCACAGCCGATAATCCGTACAAGACACAGCCAGTGTACAATCTGTCTTGTTTGTTTCCAACCGGTAGTTTGCTCAATCAACTATACGATATCTTCTAGTATAAAAAAAAAAAAGAAACAATAAGAAAAAGTATGCAACAAAAACAAACACAAGAACGATATTTTAATTGCATAGAAAATTATTCTAAAAATACGACATCACACACATTCCTTTTTCTTTTTATAGATTGGCTCTCGTTAGTTCTATCTATTTTATTATCGTTAAAATAATTTCGTATTAATCGTCATCAGATAATTTATCTTAATTATTGTGCGAGGTTGCATCATACATTTTTCTATTTATATAACGCGTTTTTTTTGTATAAATTATTCGTAAATAATTGAAAAATTGAAAAGATAAAAGACACTCGTTGATAAGATATGGAAACAATTTGTTCGGTAGAAAAAAAACATTCGTAAAAGGTTGAAATTTCCCGCGCTATGATCGTTCGATTGATCGAAATTGCATGTTGCCAACTTTATCTTTGATATATGTGTTGACATTCAACTAGTCGCAAGCAGTTATACGTCTGAACGTATTGCTTAACAGTCGATAGCTTGCGCTGAGGTGTATCAAAGTCACGCGTTATGAACAACGAGGACGTAAGCTATTTTATTCCACTATCTATTATTTTATATATATTATCATGATTAACACGAACGAAATATAAAACACTACGTATATTTTACTAATTTTCTTTTAATCGCCAACTCGGAAATCTTTTACACAAAATACTAATCACGTTCGTCAATTCGCGTAAACGTAAAGAAAATATTTTACGTTTAACAAACAAAAATAACAAAATACAAAATATTACAAATAAATAAATGTTTTTTTACGCGCGTAAGAGTAAATTTTCTTAGAAATTTACGTGCAGTTAAAAGAATTCAAGTCAGACTCTTATCTCGCGTCAGATGATAAGACTTTTTTTTTTTCTTTCAATGCCTTCGTAAACTTTCCTTTTTCAATTAATGTAAGTCACAAAAATAAGTACATATAAAGTAAAATACAAAACTCGTTTTCTCGTACGTACATTTTTTATAAAATTCTTTTTATAAATATCGCGACAGCAATAAATCGCGGATAATAAAAGATGAATACGAGAATTTTAAAACGCATAGCATATTATATAAATGATTCGCAATTTTCCTGGAAAAATTATATTACTGAACAATGTTCAGGATTACGTCAGATTACAAGGATTATTATTCTTTTTAGAAAAATCGGTTTTTTCCCATTTTTTTTCTTTTTCCACATACGATTAAAGTTTATTACAACGAATGTGAATGAAATGAAATAATTTAAGCTATTCATTGAAATCGGTGTTTCAAGCTGGACGTATATGTTTAATGTAAATAATTCGATGATAAGGCAGAAAAAAAGACGATAGTACGATAATATCGATATGATAATATTAATACGATTGCCAATTTCCTGCAATAATCCGTTTGTATTGACCACTTTGATATTTTTAAAAATATCTCTTTGATATTAACATCGATTTGTTTAAAAAGAAAACAATATTCAACAGATATGAAACTTATCGAGTATTTTATTTATCCAGATAGTCGATTGATTATGTTTTATAGTTAACGACATTGATATCGCATTCGTATCGAGCAAGTTCTCGGATCATTAGATAAAAACATCTAATCCTATCTTTAATATCCCATATTTCAAACAAAGTATAATATCACATCTGACGTCACTTCGCTGAAAATATTTGCATTCAAACTAGTTATTAATCATTTCATTTCTTATCATATATATTTCCAGATGTAGGTTAAAAATAATTAAATCAATGTAATTTTTTATATTCTCGATCTAATGAATTATTGATTTTTACCTATGAAATATACATAAGTTTACTTTTTCTTTGTAAGAATAAAAACGTTCATAACTTGAATCAATTAATGGCAAATCAAATTCTAAGAATTCTTAGCAGGATTCTATATATTACCTAGTATTACGTATTTCCTACTCTTATTATAAATAATAATGTTTTTCTGATAATTACAGCAAACTGATCACTTCATAAGTACATGAACGAAAAAGATCCCGAAAGAAAGATGCATTATCAACCACAAATATCAACGATAAGTACAGCGGCACCGCCGTCGTATTCGGAAGCAATTAACCAACAGCCTCCTTCGAAAAATAATTTTCCTCTTCCTCCATTCGGTACACACACTTATGAAGCACACATACAACCAGAAATAGGACAGTATCCAACGACAAGTAATTATCAGGGATACAATGCATCTCAACCGCCTTACAATCCTACGTATATGTCAATGGAAACGAATCCACCACAAACGTATATTGTGACCAATGCAGTTGTACATCGTAAAAATAGAAATGGTAATTAAGTTTTCGTATTTCAATATTCTACAAGATGCTTTCATTTAAACATCCAAATCTAAACTGTTTCTCCAGTCCAAATCTGAACAAATTATTTCTATTAAAACACTTTAATGTTGTTTTTATTTGTTTTTTTTTGTGCTATTTGATTTTTTGCTCGCACTTAAAATATCTTCTTCATTATATGGTTTTATTTAAAAAAAAATTCTTTAAGGACACAGTTTATTGTATGTTACATTTGTTTTTTTTCCTGTAGTATAAATTAATCCAAATAATTATACGCGCGCGTAATTATAATGAATAAATTATTTGTACTTTGTATAAAAGTAAATAATACAATTTTATTTTTTACCAGTGACTTGTTCTTCTTGCTTGAAGATACTTATATTTTCAATAATAATAGTAAGCATCACGAGTTACTTGTTAAAAGTGATTATCGCAAGTATATCGAATTGAATGCATTTACTCCAAGGACCACACAATTGGAATTGAAGCGACAATGGACAATCAAATAAATTCAGTATTAAACAATGCACTCTTTTATGAGTAAGTAGCCTCATAAAGTTGCATTTAATAATCATTTTAATTGCTTATTCGCAGTTTTAGATAATCATTATGTCTCCTTTTTTTTCTATACGATAAAAATGTTGTCGATAATAATTATGTATGTATGATATATAGTTTTTAATTACTTTAATAATATTGCGGACGAAATATTGTCAAAAGTATGATTAAGATAATATATGCGTGTAAATATTATATTTTTAAATAATTAACAAAAATTATTGTATTAGGAGTCATTTTAATTTGATTTTATTCTAACAAGTGCAATTTTATTCGTAGTATAATATGTAAATATATATTTGTGTATATTCTTACGAACAATATATTTATCCAATACTAAAAAAGAAATAAATACTCGACTCACACACACAAATTCTATGTTAAACACTTTAACATAAGCAATGATAATAAATTTGCTTTGTTTAAAAAAGAATATTCATAAAACTGCCTATAAAAGTTTATGTCAAGATTGAAAAATACTCGAATTAAATTTAGTTATTGAAAAATGACCAATACAATCGGTAAACTGAAATCGTATAACTATACTTAATAGCGATAATATTTTGCAGCATGGTAGAACGTCGCGTACACGCATGAAAAGAAGTGAACGAGAAGAAAAGATATATGGATATATTGCTAGCTTTTATTATTGAAGCAATAAAACCCTTCTAACCGAGTAATAATTTCAAAGTTGAAAACCGTTCAGCTTCAGAAGGCACTTTTGATATAATATCTGTGTATGCGTGTGAGTGAACCTTCATTCGAAACATCTAACTCGACGACGACGACTACGACGCGATGCTTTGTACCAATAAGCTTTCGAATACTGAAATCCTCTTGGAATATAATCGGTCTTACATTTTCACTAACGTATTTTATTTTACACACGGTGACACGTGTTTCTGAGTAATGTTCACTTCCTTTTTATGTCTTGCTCCTTAACGTTCTTTTTACGTTGGTAAATCGATACGATTAAAACGAACAGTATAGTTTCTTCCAAAGATACAAGCATCGATCAAAAGAAATATCCTGAAATTTTATCTATTCTTAAAATTTAACGAATTCCAACATATCATATTAACATACGAGATGGAAATACTTTCGAATAAAATTGTACAATAAATATAAACTAATAACGAGATAATAAAAAAAAAAAACAAAAAGAAAATGAGAAAGAAAATAATATTATTCCATATTTGTGTTTGCTCGAAATTTTGCTGCGATTATATAATATTTTGTATTTATTTAAATAATGGAATATAAGTTGATTGAATAACATAATCAGTCAATCGTGTTGGTCGTATCGTAGGAAATACGCAAGAACATCGTTAGCTCACCGATGACACTGCCAAATCCATGAAACAGCCAACGAATTTACCAACGGATATCCGATCGGACATTGACGCTAACGAGATTTTCTCTTGTCGACTTGTAGGTGAGTGTATACGCCTTGAAAAATATATACCGATAGCGTTGCATTTTCACATTTTCACGAGGAAATCCGGTGACGAGGGAAATCAAATCTTTCGTTCAAACGAAAGAGGGGCCTTTCTCAGGCCTTCTCTCTTTTTTTTCCTTAACTACAGGTAGTAGATGGTACCTTACAGAATAAAATTATTCTATGTTTCAAACTATTATTCGTGATTCATTTTATAAAACTTATATTAATATAGTTGTGTAATATATAAAATAAGAAATGGACCAAAAGTTCTTAAATGTTATTAAAAATCAATTACTCTTTTTCAAAACTTTTTAAGATTATAATCGCGCACTTGTGATTTTACAATCGAGTTAAATACTTTTACGATCCAAAAGAAGAAATAATTCTAAAAAGTTTCTCGAGAGAATAATTAATTTTTTAGAATCATGTAGGAACTTTTGACCAACCCTTTATTATAACTTAAGCTTGACAAAAATGAATCTTTTATGATACTAGCTAATCATTCATAATCTTTTGACGAGGTATTGAAATAAGAATTAAAAAATGCTGATGTATGAGATTGTGATTTGAGAGTTACATATTTTATAGAGAATTAAATTCAGATGTTCCTAGAATGAAATGCTTCATTTTATCACGTACAGTTACTTCAAAAAATATTCGAATACCTAATCTTAGAAATGTGAAAAACAATTCAGATATGCTTACTAAAATGAATAAATGATCCATTGGTAAAACCAATAGCCAGGAAAATTTTTTCGTAAACAACGAAAATATGAAATGAAAAATTTAGTTTAAACTGCAGCGACTGAATATTTTTGGAAGTAACTGTATATTCCAAGTACGTGAAGATAAAAGAAAAACCATCTTCATCGGTTCTTGCACCTACGTACATAGATATCAGGATTTCGAAAGATAACGCGACAGACACTATGAGCTTAACGTTTTTGTCCAACCTTTTTCCGATAATTAATGTTCGTTCACGTTCTAGGACCAAACGAAAAGAAGGAAAAGGTTTCGGAGACATGAGAATAGTAGAAGAGAAGGTGGATCAGATTAATGGTCGTTTTACTCGCTCACCATTACAGAAAAGAATGCTTTCCGATATCGTTTGTTATCCGAACCGAACGAGAAACGTACATGAAACTTATCCGAACAGAAATCAAAGGGCATCGCGTGTCGTTTTGCCCTTCAAAGAAACCTATAGAAAGTCGAATTGGATTTTCGTAAAACGATCGCTTTTGCACTGCGCGATAGATATGTTATCGTTCTTCATGCATTCAGATAAAATATGGACATATCTACTGAATTATTATATTTATTTATTGAATTTTTTCGAAAGATTTTCAGTTCATGGCATAAAATCGAAATACAGCTAAGGTGTGATATCTCGTTTTATTGGTATATGAATTAATGAGTACCGAATATGGATGCACATAGGAATAGAAAATTGTTTGCATTTAAAAATAACAAATACTCCTGTTAATAATTATTTTCAAACATGTTGAATAGTTTTTAAGGCTGTTCTATATAAATGAAACCGATATAAATTGAAGCTTTAATTATTATAGGAAATTTAGTTCATGGAGTTAAATGCTAGGAAATTTTGCTTTTCTAAAGGGGTCAGAAAATCGACACGTAACTTCCTCGATAAAGGCTTTCGATTTGGCGTAAAGCTACGTAAACCCCGAAACTTATATACCCTTGTAACTTCATCATAATAGTCCGGTACACACGTTCACGAAACTCTACAAGAGAGAGGAAAGTGGTAGAGTTTCTGAGCAAGCTAAAAGGGCTTGGATGGATGCGAGAGGTTGGTTGGATGTGGTTTTGAAGGGAGAAGCTGAAGGGATGATCGAAAGGAGGAGGTTCGAAACGTGCTCTCTTGTCCATTCCTGCGATCGTTTCTCAGCCATTCCTCGATTTCACAGCCCTCTTTCATTCCTTATCTCTGTATCTCTATATTTTCCTTTTTATCTCTTTCTCAAGCAGTCTTTCTATCTCCTAGAAGAAAGGATCAATATAAATGTTTTTCACGTTTGTACAATTCATATAATATCTTTCATCGTAGTCGTAGATTTTAATAAAGATTAGAAAAATTCTGAAAACTTGAAATAGTAAATGTAAAATTATAGACGCGTACCATCTTTCGTTATTATTTAAACTAAACAAAATATTCATAAATATAATGCACATGCACATGCAACTGCAACTGCACATGCAACTATAACTGCACATGC